CTAATATATATATATAGACGACTCAATTCAGAGTTTACGACTACCATTGTTCAACTCCGCAACTTTATAATTTTTGAACCAAATCCAGAAGACAAGGGCACTTATGAATCAAGTATTAGGAGATATTTAGTCTTCGTTGATAACTTTTTGATGTCACAAACCTGCATTTGCGTTACAAGGAGAGGAAGACCATGGAAACTTCCCGCGATTAACCTGACGGCAAAGTGATGCCTATCATCCGTCTACTACTGAGGATATTTTACGTCAGTACCGTGGTCAGTGCGATCCGGGTGACGAATCATATCCACCAGCCATCGCTGGGATTGGAACCTAAATCACCTAGTCGACCCAATTTCGTGTTTGCGACTTCTAACGTTCAACTCCGTAACCTTGTAGTTTTGAACCCAATCCAGAAGAACTCCTGGAACAAGTATTGGGAAAAATTTGTATTAAATAAGTATTATATATTACTAAATAAGGTAATAGAACTAAAATTTTGAAAACCAGAATTTTTGGTAAACCGCTATCACATGAGCTGAACAATTATTAAATGAATGGTTTAACTATCACATATTTTTTTCATTAACCAGTATTATGTTGTTTTTGTTTAAATTTAAAAAACATTTTTTTTGCTAGAAAGGTTGTCACCATACAGTACTGTAATTTTACAAGAATCTTATTCTTTTCTTCGAGCGGAATTAAAATTTATATAGTTTAAAAATAATTTTTTAAAAAACATTATTTTCGGTAATTTTCTTGATTATAAAGTAAAATACTTTCTTTAAAGCCGCAGACGTTTTCAAATAAATACAAATTTGAGCAAGGAAACAATTCTAGGTATTTATCTATTTCGCTGTCATGGGTAAATTCAGCCATTTAATTTTATTTATTTATTTTTATTTATTGACATAAAAAATTTAGTTGAGTTTACGTTTTTCATTCGCACACTTGCTTATTGTACTTGAATTAGCTTAGTGTTTTATTTCCATACATCTCCATTTAGTATCCAATTTTTGCGAGGTTCCGGGAAAAATAATCACATTCTAATAAGTTTAGTAATATTTTTATTATTATTAATCCCAAAACATTTTTATTTGTATTGAAGTTTTAAAAAAAAATAAGAAGAATTAGTTGTTAACTCAAAATGCAGTAGCTAAAAATCTTTATGATGGGTTAATGCAAAGGTTTATTTTCTGAATTTTACCTTAATTTCTTTTATTTATTGTCTGAGCTCATTCGTTTTTTAGAGAAAGATTTAAAAATGCCATTAAAACTTCACAGGGAGTATGGTTGGTATTTAATGTAATGGAATTTTTGCAGTGACTAGAAATTTTTTTAATTTGTTTAGTTATATAATTTTTATTTCATTGGCATTCATTGGCATTTTAGAAAATTAATAGTAAAAATATTTTTTTACATCTTACATAATTTCTGCAAATAATAGTTTTTTTGGCCTTTTGTAATGTGCTATTAAATTTTACGAGTTTTTTCTGCTTTACTTTTGAATAAAAGAAAAATATTTTTATTAATTTTTCAGCTTGTTTTATGATAATTGATATTAAATCGTTAAGAAGTATTGGAAATTTCTCATTAACTCCAAAAATGCTTAAGATACAATAATTAGCTACCAAGATACAATAATTAGCTACCAAGTATCTCTCAAAATTTGGAAACAAACATTTTACTTATCCCAAAGTTATGCTTGAAGTTAAAGATTACTTTCCTTTATCAAAATATGCTCATTTTGCAGGTCTAAGTATCTGTGTTTCATCTAAACCTAAATTCATTACAGTTCAAAATATAGATAACTGTAGTTCCTGTAGTCATGACACAATCCAATATCATACTCAAATGCAAATGAACAGGAAAGATGTTATAACGTGAAAATGAATATTTTGAATTTTGAATGTATATGCATAGTTTTAATTCAAAAAAATCTCCACAGAGTTATTTAAATTTAAAAAAAAATTTAAGAAATAATAATTATTTATATTCTTCAAGTAAAAGAAAGATTATTTGACATATAGCGAAAATTTATTCGAATATTTTTAGAATTTATAGCCTTTATTTTAGTAATATATTTAGAATTTATAACCTTGCGAAATGTTTCTAATCATAATTTCTCGCATACATTATGCAGATTACGTTGTTCTTCCACTTTTCATGAAGGACAACATTCGTGAAGAATTCGCACGAACTATGTAATAGATTACGTAATAAATTAAAACACGGTTTTCTCTTTACGTTTTCGTTTAAGAGATAATATTTGCTAATCAGAACAAAATCTCCTTTGTTATTATGAGTGAAATAAATAATTCTTAATGTTAATTATTGTTATATTTTTCTATAGTTGAAACAAATAAAAATACATATTTTACTTCATATGCTTGAAACTTTGGTAATTCAAAACAGCAGAAAATGCGTTGAAAGAAACTTTTACCCTGGTTACATTCACATTTTTCAGTACTTTGCGTGATGAAACGATTCTTCTTTCATGACCCACACTATAAAAAATTCCGGATATTTGCCGGTACTTTTTACCGTAAAATCTA